TCGTGTATTTATGATGAAGGAGGATAAAACGTGCAACGGAAAAAACAAGATCTTTATGAACTGTTCATTAATACAAAAAGAAAGGCTGACATTTTTTCAGCCAGTTGTCGGCCCGGCATGGGTAGGGAGCTCGACTCGCAATCTGCGGGTCGCGTGTTCGAATCCCCGTCCCACCAAACATGTTCGCCCTTTCAGCCGTGGGGCGTAATAAAGTGATTGTCAATCCCGCTTTTCGTTGGTAAAAGAGTAGCCCAAAAGTTGGCGGTGGGTGGTGATGACTTCTAGTCTTACACTGCTAAGTTAGGGACGGCTAGCGCATATAGCCCTCGTGTAGCTTTGTGCGAAATCCAAAACCAACAAACAGTCAGTTGTCATGGTTACACTAACAACAACCTTAATGACTGAAGTTCGAGAATTTATGTATTCTAGTAATAAAATTAAATGTAAAGTCCGAATAAAAATCATGTAAAGAAAACGCAGATTGAAATGTGTTTTCTTCTATAACATCAGTTCGTTTATTTTTAGGCTTAAGATTTTAATTAATTAAAGATGTTATAGAAACTAGTTGTGTTGGTAGCTCCTTGTAATGATGAAAACGAACAAATAAACAAAACCTTGCTTCAAAAATAACTCATAATAATAAACAGTCCCAGGTTAGTTTTTAAATATGAAAACATGTTTGGTTCTCAAAATTTCGTACATTTATTAATAAACTCACCTAATGCCACACTTCTGGTAAATTGATCTAAAGCGCCTTTAGACATGCTATAGGAAAGTCCTGTTGCATCCTAGAAAGATTCGACAAAATATATTTATTATAAATTAGATCCACTATGACAATTATGCTTATTGTCATAGTCAGTGAAAATAATGTCATGTTTCGTTTCCATAGACATCAATAGTATTAAATACATCTGACCAAAGCTTTGTCCCCACAGTAGCACAGCGGTATGTCTACGAACTTACAACGCTGGAAACCGGGTTTCGATATCCGTGGTGGGCAGAGCACAGATAGCTCATTGTGTAGCTTTGTGCTTAACTTCAAACAAACCAAAGCTTTGAATTAAGTTTTAACTACTCTAATTCTCTTATAGGATTATGACCGAAAGTGTCGCTAACAGTGAGTGTTCCAAATTATCTTATGACTAAAAACTCATGATGAATAACACCACGATCGAAAGGGGATAAAGTAAATTATAGGATAAAAATTAACGTGACAATAAGAGGAGAAATGAAATATATTACACACGGAAAATTTATAACCAAAAATACCACTCCTTGACACATTTTAATTAAATTAAAAGCTACAATTTTTCACTTGGCTCTTCAATGTTAGAGTACTTACTCCCCTTTTGCTGAGAATGCTCGAAACGTTGATAATGGAGCCTTTACTTTCAATCAGGTGAGGGACAGCTAGCATCGTCAAGTGATAGACAGCTCTTTGAAAACATAGAAGAAAATATATTAAACATCTTTAAAACTAACTATTATAGCAATAGATGGCGCTACTACACAAACAAATCGACGAACGGTCGGATATCTCTACAGAATATTTATTGCCAAGCTATTTTACAACGATCATGGAAAGTTTCCAATAAGAAAAGTTGTAGATAATTTACAAATTACTAGAATCTCATCTTTAAATGTATTTCATTTATGAATATTTTCTATATTACTTGATATTTCATATCCACTAATTCTACATTTTACTTTAAGACGAATTAATTAATAATGAATTATATTGTAACGTACACATTGTTTTATTTTAATAAAGTAAATAATATTCCAACATATGAATCGTAACGAATTTTTTCACAATAAACTAAAGATTAAAACTTCCAGAAGCTTGCCTTACAATATTTTCCTTATCTATATATCTAATATATGTATAAAGATCTTTCCTTATTTATATATAAAACTAAAAATCTCTCTGTTTGTTTGTTTGCTTGGTTGCTTGTCCGTCGCATTCACTGCACAGGTCACACTTCCCTCACGTAAAGATGCGCCAAACGACAATTTTTCGTTGATATACAAGTCTATAGACCTATTTAGTTAAAGATCGTTAACTATACATGTACTAATACAATCAGATACTTAAGGTCACACACAAAAGAAATGTGTGCAGAATTAAAATATCTTGTGTGGAAAAGCAAACAGTAGGCCTAGCTTATGTCTGCGGACTTACAACGCTAGAAACCGGGTTTCGATACCCGTGGTGGGCAGAGCACAGATAGCCCTTGTGTAGCTTTGTGTATAATTACAAACAAACAAATTAAAGTCAAGTCTGTATAACTGGTACGGCGCTTAGCATTAGAATAGACAGGTCTATTTAGTTATAGATTATTATTTATACACCTACTGATACATCATATATTTAACCTCACACACAAAAGAAATGTATGGAGAATTAGAATATTATTTTATCTCCTCCTCTGTCAGTTATGTCCTTCACCTGTGTCCCTGGGTAGCATAATCTGATTATTTTCTCCCTATTTACTCCACAGACTATTCTATACACATGCCTTGTCAAGGAATCACCTCTAACTATAATCTCCTTATCATCCACATCCCTCTCTGACACTTCTGTTTTACTTCCCTTCAATAGTTCCTCGTCTGCAGAAACCAAGGGCTGAAATTTGTTGCTCAACAGAATCGACTCGTTATAACTAAATTCACCACTTTTTACTCTAATATTACTCTTTCTAACTTCCTGAAAGTCACTGTTAGCTGATGTATCCCTTGCATCTAAAATATTATGAGATGGCTGGGTTATTAAATTCTGCTTTTTCTTCACTTTTTAATAGTAAAGATTTAGACAGTATTCCACATGATGACTGCATTAATTGTGAGCTGGTTAAGAAAAATTGGGAATTTATAAAATGGTAAGGCTCATGAGCCAGATAATATTTCCACAAGGGTTCTGAAGGAGGTAAAAGAGTGGATATGTGAGCCACTTACCACTATTTTTGTCAGTCCTTCAGAAGTGGGTAAGTACCAGAGGATTGGAAGTTAGCTAAAGTAACTCCTCTTTTCAAGGGAGGTGATAAAAATTATCCCCGTAATTATAGATCCATTAGTCTTAGATCAGTTGTGTGAAAGTTTGGAAAGTATGTTAAAAAGATGCTTTGCAAAGTCATATAACAAAGTTTAGAATTCTATTGGATAGTCAACATGGTTTCACTAAGGGAAAATCTAGCCTTATAAATATTTTGACATTGTTTGAAAAGGTTGCTGCTTATGCAGATGAGGGTAAGGGTGTATCTGAATTTTCAGAAAGCATTTGACAAGGTGCCACATACAAGGATTGTAAAAAAATTATCTCTATAGGTGTGGGGGATAAGTTAACAAATTAGATAGAAGAGTTGTTGGATGGAAGAAAGCAGAAGGTTGTTAAAAATGGAGTGCAGTAAAATTGGATTAGTGTTACAAGTGGGATATCTCAGGTCTCACTTTTAGGACCTTTGCTCTTTTTGATTTACACCAATGATATAGATGAAGGAATAGTCAATAAATTACTTAAATTTGCAGATGAGTTAGGCAAATAAATGGCAAATGGGTTTTAATTATAATATATGCAAGATAATGCTCGTGGGTTATCATAATTTTAACTATAAGTATAATTTGGAAGGGAATAACCTTGATAATGTTATGAAGGAAAGAGAGCTTTGTGTAATAGTCGATCAGTCTCTAAAGCCACCGAAGCAGTGTGCTGTTGCTAGTGGTAGAGCAAATAGGATTTTAGGTTGTATCTATAGAAATTTTGAATACAAGTCTAAAGAGGTTATAATTTCATTGAACAGGTCACTGGTTAGGCTGCATTTGTGTTCAGTCTTGGACTCCTTACATTAGGAAGAACGTTGACTTGTTGGAAAGGGTTCAGTGAAGAGTTACTAGAATGGTGCCTGAGATGGAGGTGTTGTCATCCGAGGAGAGGCTGAGATCTCTCAAATTGTTTTCTCTTGAAAAAAGAAGAGTTGGAGGGGGATCTGATTGAGGTGTTTAAGATTGAAAAGGGAATAAATAGTGTTGATGCATCATATTTTTTTCATATTTAACAGTGAGAATAATAGGACTAGGGGACACAAATATAAATTTTGGCAAGGTAGGAGTCATCTTAAGCTAAAACACTTTCATCTTTCTAACAGGGTGGTTCGCTTTTGGAATGGATTGCTTTCAGATGTTGTAGAGACTGTATATTTAAGTGAGTTTAAGAAAAGGGTTGATAACTCTATGAATGATAAGGGCTGGCTTTAAAATTTGTTTAAATTATTTTAATTTAGCTTAGAAGATGAAACATTATAAAGTAAACTACTGTATTTTGTTTGCAGTGTATTTCATACATGAATGTCATTATGTGAATACGGTATCACATTCATAAAAATATTTTCAATTTACATTATAGCTAATTCAACATAATATTACATATTTATCGAAATATGGAATGGGGAAACAGAAATAGTAGGGTTTTTTTGGAAAACCCGGGTAACGCCGAGTAACACTACTAGCTTTTTTTATAAATGTACCATGTGTGTAAATTGTTTGTTTGTTTTTTTAATTTCGCACAAAGCTACACGAGGACTATCTGCACTAGCCGTCCCTAAGTTAGCAGTGTAAGACTAGAAGGAAGGCAGCTAGTCATCACCACCCACCGCCAACATTTGGGCTACTCTTTTACCAATGAATAGTGGGATTGACCGTCACATTGTAACGCCCCACGGCTTAAAGGGCGAGCATGTTTGGTGTGACGGGGATTGGAAATCGCGACCCACAGATTGCGATTATTTTCCTTATTGTTTTCTATATAACTATCATGTGTATCAGTATTTTTCTTTATTTGACTACAGATCGTATATATACATAGTCCTCTCTTTATTTTCTATGTATCTACTATATGTATATATTCCTTATTTTTCTACATACTTAGTAGATGTAAACTTCCTTACCGAGCATTGGTTTTCCACACTAAATCTAGTCCCTCCAAAGAACTTTTTTGAGCAGAGTCCAGTGCTACCATACCAGCATTGTTAACCTGAAGAGAAACAACATTGTTAATGTTCCTACGTTCCTCTGACATTCCTATTAATTTATCTTCTTCGGATTCAAAATAAAAGTCGTGTAAAATATTGACTGTATCACAAAATATTATAGATTTGGGTTTCTAGTGTTTCGCCAGCTGTTAGAGTTATAACTGTAACTTCTAATGTTGATTGACTTTGTTACCAGGCCACACTTGCTATGACGATCTATTCACGTGAGAGAATTTCTATTTTCTCCCCACCTCTTACATTTAGTGGGTATAGGGAGTTATTTTATATCCATGATCTGTAACTATCAAGATTCAAACTTCCGATTCTATTGTGACATTTCAATTAAAGAGTGGTGATTGACAAGACCAGATGAATTCTAAGGAAGATTACATAACAGAATGTATCCTTATTCCGTGATTATCAAAGTGTGAAAAGTGTTTTATTTTTTCAAAGAAAGGATTTTTGTTAGTATTTAACTATATCGTTAAAGCAAGAGAAGGTGGTAAAAAACTGGCTATTCTAGAACGATTTCTAATTTGTGTAACAGAGATAGTGGATAAATTTAACCAACTTATCATCGGAGGAAACCCAGTAACATCTTGATACTTTGTATGTAAAGTAGGAACCCCTCTTAGAAAGTTGTAAACAATATAACACACCAACATTTAGGTTTAGAAAAGTAACACAAGAGCCGTGTTCTGAAGCTCCTACTAAATATATAATCAAATTTAGAATGATGTACGAAAGATGGCTGGTATTGAGTCATAGAAGTATGTCGTCACATTGACATTGACTGTGTCTGTTGAAGTGACTGTAACAAAACTCAAGTGATAATTGCATAAAGTATAAGGGGTTGAGTTATGGAAGACGGTTCCTCCCTGCCCCATGAAAAGAAACCCCCTTTGTATACAATTAGAAAAGAGAAACACCAAGTCGAACGTAAATACATAAAAAAGGTAACCACAGACTAAGTAGAAATAGCTTATTTTAAAATGGTACTAATTTCGTTTCTTTACTGGTAGTATAAAGCCTTTCTTGTTCCTGTCTATAGGTGGACCTGCCAGGCTTAAACTTTGATCAGAAACAATGGGTTCATTTATATTTTTTCTAGTAAATAAACTCACCAGAATATCCAGTCTTCCATAGGTGTCAATTGTTGACTTCATAATCCGATCAATATCGGATTCTATGGTTACATCACCGACGATACACAAAGGCTGAAATACAAAAGAAAGTGAACTTTTTGAGTTAAAAAACAGAAATAAACATACTGAGTCGTGCAGTAAATTGTTCTGTTAAAGTATTGTTTCATGTTATATTGTTTCTACAGAATTTGTTATCGTATTAAAAATGTAATAAGTTATGAAAAAGAAAACTTAACAACAATTTAAAAATATTTCAGGTATTTCACTTTTTACAGTGAACTATAAACCTATGTACTTGAGTATGATTGCACTGCTTAAAAAATATCCTTAGTGTAAAGTTTGTATGTGTTGAAATTAAATACTTAGAATCTATTTATTTTATTTTTGTTGTTGTTGTTGTTTTTAATATCATTTGTATCATTTTAATATCATTTTAATATCAAAGTATTTTGGGATTATTATGTTTCGGCGCTAGATGGCTTAGCTAGACGAAAGTTTGGGAAATTAACAAAATTCCTTACTTTACAAGCTGTAACTCGTAAAGAAATAGTTGAACAAACTTTTTCTATTTTTTGTTTTTAATATCTTTCGAGTTTCTCACATAATAATAAAAAAACTAAACGACAAACTCATTATGAACTTTCAGAATCAGTCTAATTAGTAAATAAGTAAAGATCCATCTATAGGAGACAAGGTAGTGGTAACAAACGCAAAAATGCCCGTAAAAACCACAAAAATAGAAAGTTTGTATGTTCTCCCTCATGGACCTAATGAATCTCCATACCAATTTCGGTGAAGATCCATCAACAGGAGGCGAAGTAGTTACATGGGCGTACAACAGACAGTACTATTATATTTATATAAGTATTATTAATATCATAAAAATGACAAATTTATAAAGAAAAACATTTTGGAGAAGAGACTGCTGAATTTGAACCATATAGAGTTTACTTAAAAAAATAAAAGTTTCAGTAAAAAAATAACAATTTCTGAAATCAAAATTATTTATGATTTTATTAAGAAATAATTAAGATATATCTTTTCATAAAATAAAGTACTATGTTAATTTTCTTATTTATGTAATTACGTTTTAATTATAACTTATAACATTTCAATTCTATTGTATCACAGTCTAATTATAATTCATTGTTTTAATCATAATGCATCTCGTTTTAATTATAATTTATTACGTTTTAATTACAAGTTATCACGTTTTAATTATAATCTATTAGATTCTAATTATAATCTATTACATTCTAATTATAATCAATTGTTAGAATTATAATGTATCTCGTTTTAATTATAATTTATTACATTTTAATATAATCGATTGTTATAATTATAATTTATTACGTTCTAATTATAAGCTATTACATTTTAATTACAATCTATTACATTCTAATTATAATCTATTACATTCTAATTATAATCTATTACATTCTAATTATAATCTATTACATTCTAATTATAATCTATTGTTATAATTATAATGTATCTCGTTGTAATTATAATTATTACGTTTTAATTATAATTCATTACGTTCTAATTATAATATATTACATTCTAATTATAATCGATTATTATAATTATAATGTATCTCGTTTTAATTATAATTCATTACGTTTTAATTAAAGTTATTACGTTCTAATTATAATATATTACATTCTAATTATAATCGATTATTATAATTACAATGTATTTCGTTTTAATTATAATTTATTATGTTTTAATTACTAAACAAACATTTGTTTACTAACCACATTGCACTCGAGTTGGACGTTTTTGAATTGAATATTTGGAACTTTTAGTTATTTATGTTCTATATTTGATTTCTCTGTGTGCAGGTGTTTGTTTATGTGTTGGTGAACAAATATTTTGGGTTAAGACAAGTTACGTATCTATCAAATAATACATTATAGAACCGTGATACGAGGATATTTCCATTTGTTTTTTCTTCACAGAACCAGAATATATGTTTCTCTATTTCCTTCTTCTCCTTCTCAATTAAAGGTCGAACTAAATCAGACTTGCTCATTATTTTCTCCATCTTGGGAAAAACGGTTCCAATTTATATGAACATATTTTAGTTCAGTTATAAACGATATGGCGTCATTTATAAATTACTACATTTTCAGTAATTGTTATATAAACATTTCTTATGTATTAATATTTCTATTTTATATAACGTTTAGTCAAACCTTAGATTATAAGGTCATTTATAAATTACTACATTTTCAGTAAATGTTATTTCAACATTTCTTATGTATTAAATACGTCTGTGTTATATAATGTTTAGTCAGACCTTTAGATTATAATGTCATTTACAAATTACTACATTTTAGTAATACTTATTTAAACATTCCTTATTTATTAAATACGTCTATGTTATATAATGTTCAGTCAAACCTTTAGATTATAAGGTGAAGCTGTTTCACATTCTTCAGCAGATTTTGTCAAATTTTCTTGGTTCCTTCCAGTCAGAGCTAGCCTCGCTCCCAGGCGTGAGAACAACACAGCAGTGGCTCTACCTATTCCTGAACTAGCACCTAAATATTTAGATATCCACACAAGTATTTTATTTGTAGACGTAAAAAAGTTTTTATAACTTTTAAACAAACAGACAAATAACTGACAGTTAGTTCATGAAT